GTGGTCGGGGTTATCCATACTTACCTTCATCTGTTTGATCTTAGCATCATCTTTAGACTGAGCAGCACCAGGTTTATTTAACACTCGTATTGACTTTAATGTATGGGCCATTATTGTTTCTATATTGTGTAAATCTAAAAACAAAACAAAACACAAATAGTTTAAGGACACACCAATTTAATTTTAGTTCATCAAGGTATTTATCAATGAAAAATCCATTCAATTCTTTGTGAGCAAAGTTTTGTTAAAATTTCAAAATTTAAATATGTGGAACTAAGTACTTTTTGTTTTTTAATTAGTATTTTTCCTGAAGAATTTGAAGGCAAAACTTTTAATTGGTGTTCCTAAATAATAGAAATTCAGACAAGTTATTTATAAGCTCTTCAAGTCAAAGGTTTGTTGACTACAAGGAGATATTCAAAATAGAGAGAGAGAGAGAGTAATAGGGTTTAACGTCCACTCGACACAAATTAGGTCATTTCAGGGCTAACATACAGTTCAGTTTCATTTCAACAATTCTCTTGCATGTAGGGGTCTTTTAGCAGTGGGAGGAAACTGGAGGACCCGGAGAAAACACAAACGACCCTACTCCTTGTCACGAACAAGCGGAGAGTCAAAATCTTTCTTTTAATCAGATTGATTCATTTAATATATACAATCTTTTGTTCACGGAAAAGGAATGAGGGACCAACTTGGTCAATAGTTATTAATAAATTAATCTTTGTGTGATTTTATTTTTTATTATATATATTACAATCTGATTAAAGTACAGATCGCATTTCGTTTCGTTTTTGTAGTTCAAAATTAATGATTTATATAACATTTGAGACCAATAGAAAGATCTTCATGAGGCCGATCTTCGCTCTGACCAATAGAAAGATCTTCATGAGGCCGATCTTCGCTCTGACCAATAGAAAGATCTTCAAGAGGACGATCTTCGCTCTTACAAAATGCATCTGTAAGAAACTAGACGAAATTTCTATTTTTTGTGAGAAAGTTCATCAGGATTTTCCAGCGTGGTTCCCCCTTGTCAGTGATGCAGGACAGAGGGCCTGACAAGGACAGCTGTCTAGTTGTTCAGATGCGATAAAAACCTGAGGTTCCGTGTATACATTTGAATGCGATATAAAAGTAGGCCATAGCGCACTGTATGGCATATGCCCATCTTCATTAGCCCAGTCAGAGCAGAACAGTAGGACGTTAAACCTTGCTTCATTTTTTTGATAAAAAGTTGACATAGTAAAGATAAGATGTTAAACAGCTACTTACATTCCACAACATTACCAGTCATATTAATTAATATGTTTCTTACTTCAACTCGGAACTAATTCAAAAAATATAAATATATATGTCATTATCATGGTTTATCGATTCCCCCGGTTGTACGTGACCAGGAGTAGGGTCACCTGTCAAACCTCGTGGGTTTTCTCCCGGTCCTGCATTTTCCTCCTACTGTTAAAGACCCCTACGCACAAGTGAATTATTGAAATAAAACTGAACCATATGTTAGTCCTGAAATGACATAGTTTGTGTCGAGTGGACGTTAAACCCCATTTCTCTCTCTTTCTATGTCTCTCTCTCTCTCTCTCTCTCTCTCTCTCTCTCTATTTCTGCTAGCAGCAAGTTACAAGAAGCCATGTCTTAGGTTCACATCACTGAGATTTTAATAAAGCCAAGTACCAACTTGTCTGAGGTGGCACCTTCAGAGCTTGTTTAGGGGATAAAAAAAACAGTTCCAACCAGGGCTTAACGTCCACTCGACACAAACTTGGTCATTTCGAGACTAACATATGGTTCAATTATATTTCAATAATTCGCTTGCGCGTCTTTAGCAGTGGGCGGAAACCGGAGAACAGCAATGAGGTTGGATAGACGACTCTACTCCTTGTCACACGCTAATAAAATTTAGCATCTGATGAAGAGTAGCGGAGAAATCACATGTTTATCACGTAGATTAAGTTTATAATCACTCTTAATGGATTGATACATAGTCCGATAAAGGAGAAGCAATGACTTCTGTTTAAGATTAGATTGATGAATTGTTCGACAAAGGATTAAGTCAGTTATCAAGGCAGATTAAGTAGTTAATCAAGGTAGGTGTATGGGCGGTATAACACGATGAATATGTTGATCACTTAATTACCTAATCACTCAAGGCCATTATCAACGATAATCGAAATGGGTAATAGTTATATACCCAGTACAGTCAAATAAATTTGGAAAATGGAATATCATTTACCACATCTTGATGTCCCATTGGGCATATTCATGGTTGGTCGTTTGGGAAAAAGCGCAGGACATGACCGAAATATACGGGCGAAATAGCATCACTGCCTTAAACCCAAGTTCATATGTTTTTCGACAGATTTGCACAACCAAATCATTGATTTCAGCTTGTATCTAAAACCCAGCTCTCAATCTCACCTACTGTGATCAAATTTTAAAAATTCACTGGTGCACTATGGAATGAATTGTCTGTGTTGGGCCGGTACCTAAATCCAACCCTGAGAGTAGGCCTAAACAAACCTAGCAATAAGGCCTGAATCATTAAATCCTGAAAGTTTTTTACGTACATCATCGTGTATTAATTTAGGTAATTCTTGTAATTGATGAGCTGGTTCTATATATCCTTCCTTCGTTAACGCAATCACCAATTGATCACGGAAATGCATCAAAGCTCTGAGTAATCGTAGTCCATCTTTCTGTATCATCTGTATCTGATCTTTATGTACGTTTTCTACTCGACGTACAGAAGCCTCAGTTCTAATAATAAAAAAAAAACACATAAAGACAGAAAATTGTTAATGTATATTTGACATCTCAAGGTACTCAACTTCACTAGACTTGCATCCAGGGACAATCCAAATATCTTAATATTGTGATTCAACCTCATGATGTACAGTTAAACAATATCTCTAAGAAAGATTGTTTAAGTACCGGATGCAGACAAAAAGAAAAAGTTTGAGAAAGTGACATTTACGCCATATATAAATAATATATAAATTAATGTATCCTTAACATGTATATAAACTTATACCATAACATTAGTAATATCAAAGTATGACAAATAATATCAAATTATGACTATATACTGTAAAATGATTGTATTAATTTACAAGGAAAGAGATACAATAAAAATAGGTGACCTTGACCTTGTTCCTTAACAATTTTCAATATTGAAAACACAAGAGACTAGGAAACAATGACACAATAAACATCACAGTGAATACAGAAGATACACGCAGGGCACCTACAAGCCTATGTGGCGTCCCAGGGCAAAAGTTTCAGAGATGCCCCCCACACTTGCATAGTTGTACTGCTTTGATCAGTGCCTGCCCTCAGTTGATTTTTTATGATTACAGACATTTTATAATACAATTTTTTATACTTTTAACACTTTAACTAAAATAAACTTATATGTAACAAATTTATGTTTAATTCCTCTTCAACTATACATTTCTTCGAAAAACCCTATAATAATTATTATCTTAGAAAAATCATAATTCTACCCTCTTCATTTGCTGAAATATGAACTGGTTTACACAGGTTTAGGGGAAGCGAAGGCTGGTAATTTGTTATCTCAGCCTCCAAAGAGGCTAGTCCAGAAATATTCAAATGGGTCTCCCTTGAATATATTTCTGATATGCATTTAGATAATTTGCTGCCCCCCAAAGAAGTGTCGTGCCCGGGCATATGCCCCGCTCAGCCTCCCATATGTGAGGTCCCTGGATACACGTTCCACCTGAGGCGTATTATCAAAGACTGTCTATGAAACTGGCCCAGTTAGTGGGTTAGTGGGTTAGTGGGTCAAATGTTAAGTGGCATCGGGGGCATTCTCCCCATATAGTTAGAAGGTGTTTTGGGGTCCTTCCCGAACAGGTTATGAACAGACAAATGCTGACAATGTAGAGTTACCATAGAAACAAGTTAATACACATAGTTACTATAGAAACATGTTAATACACATAGTTACTATAGAAACATGTTAATACACATAGTTACTATAGAAACATGCTAATACACATAGTTACTATAGAAACATGTTAATACACATAGTTACTATAGAAACATGTTAATACACATAGTTACTATAGAAACATGTTAATACACATAGTTACTATAGAAACATGTTAATACACATAGTTACTATAGAAACATGTTAATACACATAGTTACTATCATATACACATACTAGAGAAACACTGAAAGCCTATATCTTACCTTACTTACTTCATCATATAAACCTATAAATATAGCTACATAAAATTCACTTTTTAACAGAATTTGATCACCTGTTCTAGTTGTAACATACATGTAAACTAATGCTTAATTTAGTTTGTGAATTATGTTTTCTGAGCATTTACTCATAAAAACTATAAATTAAACTATATTATTGTGTTTTACTCTTAAGTGACTCAGAGGTTCGACGTAATAATGTCATAAAAACCAGGTCATAATGGTAATCCGTGATTAGGAGAAGATTTTTGTGTAGGCCTAGACAATATCATCGTTTTATTATAATTTTTTAAGAATAAACAGTACGATATTTAAAATGTCAAACAGGAAGTAAATAAGCGAGGGAAAGTTGTCTGTTTATAAGGGAAGTAATTAAGTCTCATTACGCTAGGAATGTTGCATTTGGCTGGCTGGTTTTGTTGATAAAAGTTTGCCATGGGTACTTAACGGTAATGTTATTGGTGTCGACAAAAGTTGACTTGCGTCAGCTAAGAGTTAATTAAGATTAAGATTGAGAGAGAGAGAGAGAGAGAGAGAGAGAGAGAGAGAGGGTTTAACACACAAACTAGGTCATTTTGGGAACTAATATATTGTTATTTGAATAATTTGCTTGCACGTTGGTGTCTTTAGCAGTGGGAGGAAACCGGAGGACCCAGAGAAAACCCACGAGGATGGACAGGCGACCCAACTCCGTGTGATGTACAACCGTGGAATCGAAACCACGCTAGTTTGCTCAATGACAGACCTTATGATACAGCGTGCACATGCTAACCATTTGGTCATCCAACCCCCCAAACTATAAATGAAACTATATTGATTGTGTTTCAAGATGAAATTATTTAAAACTCTCATTTCATGAAATATAAATTGACTGACAGGTAATTTCTGGTCAATTTCACAGTCAATCAGTTAAGACCGGCAAATATAACTTTATGATTACAATTAAGAGAGAGGTTATACCTGGTATTTCATGGAGAGGTCATACCTGGTATTTCATGATGGAGAGGTCATACCTGGTATTTTATACCATAGCCGTCATACTTGGTATTTCATGATGGAGAGATCATACTAGGTATTTTATCATAACAAGGTCATACCTGTATTTTATAATAACAAGATCATATCTGGTAATTTACCATGGAGAGGTCATATCTGGTGTTTTATACTAACAAGGTCATACTCGGTATTTTATACTAACGAGCTCATACCAATCATCTTATACTAACGAGGTCATACCAGTTATTTTATACTAACAAGGTCATACCTGGTATTTCATAATAACAAGGTCATATCTGGTATTTTATACTAACGAGGTCATACCTGGTATTTCATAATAACAAGGTCATACCCGGTATTTTATACTAACGAGCTGATACCAGTTATCTTATACTAATGAGGTCATACCAGTTATTTTATATTAACAAGGTCACACCTGGTATTTCATAATAACAAGATCATACCTGGTATTTCATACTAACGAGGTCACACCTGGTATTTCATAATAACGAGGTCATATCTGGTATTTTATGATAACGAGTTGAAACCTGGTATTTCATAATAACGAGGCCATGCCTGGTATTTTATACTAACGACCTTCTTACCTATTGTTTTCTTTTTTAACGTGTGCTTTTATTGTGTCCAGCTCCTGAGCGAAATCTTTCTTCATACCCGCCAATAATGTTTTATAATAGTTAGCACTTGCTTCACTTAGTTCAAACTGTTTCTGTTCACCCTGCTACACAAACAAAATGAGAGAGAGAGAGAGAGAGAGAGAGAGAGAGAGAGAGATCGGGTTTAACATTCTATTGTTCTGCTCCAAGTATGCCTTTTACATGTGACGTCACATCACACTGTGTCGATCTTTAGCTCGATGGCGCATGCTTTGTTTACATAAAACATCGTAGTGTAAACTGGTCCCGGCAGAATGGTGCCTTTCATACATTTTATATAGCCATTTACATTAAATATGAAATATTTTTTATCCAGATAATCTTCAAACATCACTATTTATTTTTCTAATTCTTCAAAAATATGTTCTAGAAGTTAATTTGCAGAAGGAAAAATGAAATATTACGGGCTAATTAACCTGCACCAATATCATCCCTTCCAGTGATTGTAGCGGCCTAGCAAATATTCACTGCTGATCAGTTTGCTCTGACTAGGCCAGTGGTTCTCAACCTTTTTTGCCAACGACACACCTTGGAAAATATGAAAAAAATAGCGGCACACCTGGCTAAATACATATGAAAAATATTTGAATTTTGCAAAATAAAAACATGGAAAATCATAGACGGCATACAACCGTACACAAATACTAGTCGATCATAGACACATAGAATGACTCGAACTAAACAAGCCAACATCGAGGCTGATGTCCCCCGCCGAAATCCCGAAATAGATAGATGACACATATCAATTAATTGCACGTTTATCTTTTTCAAAAGTATCGAGCAATCAAACTGATTATCAACTATACACTAAGTTTCATCACTCTTTATCAGATAGAATCAACCTAACGAACATCAACATCAAGTTTAAACATTCTACCACAATTAAAAGCAGAGTTATTATGTTCCAAAGTCTTGACCAATCAATTGGTTATTGCTCTGCTTACCTTCAGGAGAAAATGTTCATTATTGAAATTAGTCGTTGTATTGCTGTGATGAAACTATACACCAAGTTTCATCACTCTCACTTAATTAGAACTAAAGTTATCGTGTCCCAAAGCATCAACCAATCAACTTGCTTATCTCTGCTTACCCTAAGCAGAAAATGCTCATCTTCGAATTCCATCAAGGCATCGACATAATAAAAACCTACACCAAGTTTGACAAGGCATTGACCTAATAAACACATACACCAAGTTTGAACATTCTAGCTCAATTAGGAAGAGAGTTATTGTGTCCCAAAAAGTGTGACGGACAGACAGACGGACAGACAGACAGACGGATGAACCCATTTTAATAGTCCCCTGCTTTCTTCGAAAGGCGGGGGACAATAAAGAAAAACACAGCATTGAACTAACTAGTAGACACCAGTGACGCAATCGGGATCAGGTGGTTTTAGGCATTTTCTTAGTGTGCCTTTCAAAATTTCACAGCACACATAGGAAGATCTCTTGGCACACAGGTGTGCCTTGGCACACTGGTTGAGAATCTCTTGGACTAGGCTAATGATGACAGGCATACGGCATACAGTGTCCTATTAGTGAAATTATGCACTGACAGCAGCGCTATGGCCTACTCTTAAACCCCATTTCATTTCATTGCATTTCATGATTATTTTTTATTATAAAAACTATCCATACCTCTTTTGGTACTGGTATATCAATGTCTAGTTTTATCCCCATCCTTATATCTGGTGTGGTTGCCGGGGCAACGGGAGAAACAGCAGGCCGTAGTGATGATTGGTTATTGGCTTGATCGACAGCCATCTTTAATTGTTTGATCTTACCTTAAATATAAAACATAGTTCAGTATGAAGATTCTCTGTTCCTAACTGGGGGTTGGATGGCCGAAGGGTCTGTCACTGAGCCAAATGGCGTAGTTTCGATTGCCAGGCCAACATCGAGAGTGAACCTACGACCTCCAGGCTAGCGAGTCAGCGTCTTACCCACGTAACCATGGCTCCCACACATGTCAAACCATTCGGCTACCCAACCCTTCCAAATTAATTGGAAGTTATATAGTTATATAGTTATTGTCACAAATAGTCGTATGAAATGGAATATTCAATTGTGAAATGGTTTATTTTCGTCATTTAGGGCACATATGGATGTTTCGATAAAGAGCTGGCAGTTCCCACTATAATAGTTAAAAACTAGATAATGTAAATGGAATATGCTGAAAATTTCAGTCAAATTGCTTCACTCTTAGCCAAGAAAACTTTATTTTAAAATCACGGTAGACTCAATTGTCATTGTTACCGCTGTCATGATAATTAACAAAGTCTTGATTATCCATTAACTATCAACATGCATTGAACAGCAGATCGGATTCAAATCCAATGAAAATCGGACATATAAGATGACATCAAGAGTTGATTATGGTCTTTTTATGTTAATAAATGTCTAATTAATAGTTTTACAACATTTCAGGTCTAAAGAAAGACCTGCAATAGGCAAATTTAGCTCTTGCATAATGCATGTTTAATGGTTTTACAAATTTAAAAATGTTTTATTACGAATAAACACTCAACATAACTTACTTTGTTCTTGTACAACCCGATTTTCTAACATAATAATTCTATCCTGTAATTCCTTCAACATTATCTATAAATAACAACATTATCTATAAAACAACATTATCTATAAATAAACAACATTATCTATAAAACAACATTATTTATATAAAACAACATTATTTATAAACATAATCTATAAAAACAGAGAGAGAAATAGGGTTTAACTCCACTCAACATAATGATTCTGTTAGTGTAAAGTGATGTTGTTAAAAGGGGTAAAATGTGAAAATCACCCATGTTGAAAGGGTTAAAATGTGAGAGTATCTGATGTTTTGAAAGGGTTAAAATGTGAGAGTCTGTTGTTGAAAAGGTTAAAATGTGAGAGTCTGTTGTGTTGTTGAAAGGGTTAAAATATGAGTACCTGATAGTCTTGTACTTGTTTTTCTAGTGCTGATATTTGTTCCTTGGCCTCTTCTGTCACTGAAATAAATAAATAAATAGGGTCTGTTAGGGAACAGTGTCCTGTCAGTCAGATGGGAAGACAAAACAAAGTCCTGCATTGATTTTGGCGTAAGTAGAAATTGGAAGAGTAGTTTGTGGTGCCACTTGTCTTCATTCAGGAAGGTGCAAAACAGTAGGATATCATTTCACATCAAAGAGAATGATAAACAAGTGGAGAGAGAGAGAGAGAGAGAGAGAGAGAGAGAGAGATGGGGTTTAACGTCCACTCGACACTAACAAGGTCATTTCGTGACTAACATATGGTTCCATTTTCATTTCAATAATTCGTTTGCATGTAGGAGTCTTTAACAGTGGGAGGAAACTGGAGGACCCAGAGAAAACCCACGAGGTTGGACAGGCGACCCTACTCCATGTCATGTACAATCGGGGAATCAAAACCACGGCAGTTGACTCAATGACACCTCTTTTGATCCAATCTGCAACCGTTAACCATTCGGCCACCAAACCCTCCAGTATTTTAAGCAATATCAATCTAATATACTATTCAAAAAAAGTAGGGGATATTTGATTTTGGGGGCATAATACTAAAATATGCAAATGACTACGAAAAAAGTCACTATAGAACCTAACAGAAGAAACATTTCCAGTTACATGTGACGCCCAAACGCACCAATAGCTACCGCATGGAATGCAGGTGATGCTTGGGATCATCATGGGGGTCCAACCCAAGATTTGCACGACTCTGACTTTGAATGTTACAGTCATTGTGGCATTGAATTCCAGGGTGGAAACATCAGTTTAATTGTTTTAGTGACCAGAAAACAAATTTTGATATGCGTCGGCTTACCCAAAATGAAAGGTTACGTGCCCTTGGCATGCTACAGATCGGCACAACACAGGCGGTTGTGGCGCGGACGATGAATGTTTCTCAGTCTGTCATAAGCAGGCTATGGTCCAGATACCGTGATACACAATCTGTACAGGACAGACCATGCTCAGGTCGACCAAGGGCGACAACTCAAGCCCAGGATCGATTTATCCGTACCTTGGCCTTGAGAAATCGTGTCATCACAGCAAATCAGATCAGCGCTCGTCTTCAAACAGACACTGGTGTGAGAGTGAGTGGCCAGACGATTCGGAATCGACTGCATAGGGGTCACCTTCGCGCCCGACGTCCTCGCGTGATCCCTTGTTTGAGAGATCATCACATTCAGGCAAGACGTCGTTGGTGTAGGGATCGTCAACACTGGGATAATCGACGCTGGAGCAATGTGATGTTTTCAGATGAGTTAAAGTTCACTGTTGATTTTTTGGACAGACGTAGGAGGGTGTGGCGTCGTCGAAACGAGCGCTTCCAACACGTTAACGTCATCAGACATGATCGATTTGGGGGTGGTTCTGTTATGGTGTGGGGAGGCATCACTGTTGCTGGAAGAACTGCTTTACATGTTGTTGCAGGGCGTGTTACAGGCCAGTACTACCGGGACAACATCTTGGCAGTCCATGTTGTGCCGTTCGCACGACGTCATGGCCGCCGTTTCATCTTCCAGGATGACAACGCAAGATGTCACAGGGCCAGGATCGTTACAGGTTACCTCCAACAACAGAACATCACCACATTACCTTGGCCAGCACTGAGTCCCGACCTCTCCCCCATCGAGCATGTCTGGGACATGCTTGGACAGAGGTTACGTCAACGTCAACAACGTCCTGCCAATGTCCAAGAACTTGCTGCTGCGTTGCAACAGGAATGGGACAATCTGGACCAAAATGACCTTAGACGTCTCATTAGGAGTATTGCACTTCGGATCAATGCTTGTTTGGCAAACAGAGGAGGATTTACCCGTTACTGACTTGGTTGTGATGCTGTGGTAACTTTGCTGTTTGACCCCGGGTATCATTTTACCCTTATAATGGTCAGTCTGTGCCTTACTTAGTCTAACGATCATTTGGAATAAATCGATGAATGTGAACTTCATTTCATTTTGTCATTTGTTTCTTCGTCAGTTTCATTAGGTGACTTTAATAACACTTAAAAATCAAATATCCCCTACTTTTTTTGAATAGTATATGTACAGGGGTCTTATTCACAAAATCCTAAACTAAAATATTTAAGGAATTCAGCTCTTTCATTGGCCAATAGCTAAAACTAGAATATTAACTCTCATCCAATGAAATAACTGCCTCCTTAAAATAGACAAGATTGACAAAAGAGAGTGGTGGTGGGGGTGTTGGAAGCCTGACAAGAGAGGGTGGGACCAACAACATCTGTTTTTCGTGAATGATAATCCAGATACTTACAAACTTTTACAGTAACGGGTGGAGGTGGAGGTGGCGGTGGGGTTGGAAGTGGCGGTGGTGGTAGTGGTGGGGGTGGTAGTTGTGGTTGTGGTGGTGGTGGTGTTTGAAGATTGGAACGAGAGGGTGCGGCCAACAACATCTGTGACTTTTGTACTGGTACAATTATAGGTGGAGGAGACGGTGGAGGCTTGTTCACTTCTTCTTTTAATTCTCGAACTAAAATTTCCAGCTTTCCAATTTTCACCAATAGTTTTTCATTTCGATCTTTGGCCATTTTCTGTATAAAATAAAAACAAGAAGAGCTATTCATGGTTTTCTTTTCTTATTTAAAGACGCCTTCCCGAGTACAAACTGTGTGATTTGATGATATATTTGGACTAAAAACATATTCAAACTAATTATTCTATCATTTTTCTCAAGAGGTCATGTTTGTGTCACATGACTTGGCTGACGCTGTACCTAGCGACGGGCACGAAGCCGGAGGAGAATTCATTGCATAGACAAGACGATGTTTATTTTTAATCGGTGTCCATTTATCATAAATATCAAAGCCTATTTAAATTCTTGGATTATCCACTGCCCACATTTATTTCGGTGGTTTTTATCTCAGAAGTTTATAAAAATATACATCAAGAGCTCACTAATGCTGAATGATCACCCAATCTTAATTGACGTGCAGCCTTTGACATCACTTGAGCAGACATTCCTAAAGGAAACCCTTACATTTTTGCCCCGTATGCGCTCCATGGTTGTTTTTCAGGGAATTCAGTATTTTTCTAGATTGGATGTTTCTCCATATACACCAAATTTGCCATACTTTTATTGGAAATAACCACCCGATAAAAACTTTGGTAGGAAAATATCTTTAAACATGCATCATGCAAGAGCTAGAGAGAGAGAGAAATGGGGTTTAACTTCCACTCGACACAAACTAGGTCATTTCGGGACCTACACATGGTTCAATTTTATTCCAACAATTCAATAACAGGGAGAGAGAGAAAAAGAGAGAGAGAGAGAGAGAGAGTTTAACGTCCACTCAACACAAACTAGGTCATTTCGGGACTAACACAGATTTCGATTTGATTTCAATAACTAACTTGCGTCTAGGGATCTTTAGCAGTGGGAGGAAGCCGGAGGAACCAGAGAAAACCCATGAGGTTGAACAGGCCACCCTACTCTTGGTCACATACAATTGGGATTCAAAACCACACCAGCTGACTCAATGACAGACCTTATGATACAGCGTGCACATGCTAACCAATCGGCCATCCAACCCCCCAATGCAAGAGCTAAATCTGCCTATTGCAGGTCTTTCTTTGGGCCTTAAATGTTATCTAAATTATTAATTAGACATTTATTAACATGACAAGACCATAATCAACTCTTGATGTCATCGGATGGCTCCAATTTTAAGTAGATTAGAACAGTTTGGCCATTTAATGATTTAATATAAAAATGGAGAAAAAAACACCCTAGTGTGCATGGAAGGAGAGTGAGTTCCCTTGGGTTGGATGGAGGCGAAGGTTGGGGAGAGAAAGGTTTGGTAAAGCTCAGTAGCATCTCACATTCTTATGGAAGTTATCAACTATCTAACTGAATAAAGTAGTAGGAGTATCAAAACCACACGCTACAATCAAAACCACACGCTACAATTAAAACCACATGCTGCAATCAAAAACCACACGCTACAATCAAAACCACACGCTACAATTAAAACCACATGCTGCAATCAAAACCACATGCTGCAATCAAAACCACATGTTTTCAATAAAGTCTAAATCTTACCAACTGGTTCTCGACATCCTCTAGGTTTGTCATGAGGTTCATAATTTCACGTCGGGCTTCTGACTGTTCTTTTAAACTTGAATCGATACGTCCATCACTAGCCAATAATTTCTGTAAATAAAGAGAGAGATAGAGAAAGAAATGGGGTTTAACGTCCACTCGACATAAACTAGTGATTTCAGGATTAACATATGGTTCAATTGGACAGGCTACCCTACTCCTTGTCACGTACAACTGGGGAATCTAAACCACGCCAGTTGACTCAATGACAGATCATATAATACAATGCACACATGCTGAGTTGCTGACCATTTGACCATCCCCCTCCCCACTCTTTTGTAAATAAACAAAACAGCCTTTCTTTTCATACACTAAATACAAAATTTGGGCCTGTCATTGTCTGTCATACTCACACAAATACAATTTATATGTCAGTATGATAGATAGATATATTTATATATCAGTATGGTAGATAGATATATTTATATGTCAGTATGATAGATAGATATATTTATATATCAGTATGGTAGATAGATATATTTATATGTCAATATGGTAGATAGATATATTTATATATCAATATGGTAGATAGATATATTTATATGTCAATATGGTAGATAGATATATTTATATGTCAATATGGTAGATAGATATATTTATATATGGTAGATAGATACATTTATCTGGCACAAACATGCACAAAATCAAAAATGACATACTTAGTTATGGCAAAACATTTATTTTAGAACTAATTTGGGGCCCCTGGCCTGATTCAAAGGCTTATGATATAAGTTTTAATTCCCTTACAAGACTTTGTTAAACAGCCATTTTTAGGCCTTAAATGTTATATAAATTAATGATTAGACTTTTATTAACATGTCAAGACCATAATCAACTCTTGATGCCATAAGATGGCTCCAATTTAAAGTAGATTAGAACAGTTTGGCCATTTAATGATTTAATTTAAAAATGGAGAAGCGAGGCTAAGACTTGAATGACCAGTTCGGTAGTTAAGATCAATGCACATACGTTGTCAAAACTACAACAATTAATAACTTCGTTCAGAATAAAGTAATTTGAATGAAATTTTCAATATATTCATTTTGCATTATCTATTTTTGAAATAGTATAGCGAGATACATAATGTATCTTTAATAATAGATTGGTGATATTTACATTCTTTAAGTCTTCCATATTCTTCTGTGCATTGGTTAATTCAGCTAATCGTTTATCAACAGCTTTCATGATAAAATTAAACTGTTTCTTTCCATTCTTTATAGCTAAAATAAAACAATGAAATGCAGTGAAATGAAATGAAATGAAATGAAATGCATTTCTGTATATAATTTAATATAATACATTGCGCCATACATGTACTTGTACGGAATCAAGTTGTCCATTTAGAGTAGGCTATATCCTATCGCCAAGTACGACCGACACTTCCCTTTCCACCCTCATCCCGTGCACCGTTATTCTGTTGCCACCTTGTATGCTGGTATGTTATGTTATATAAAGTTGTTTGTTAGTATTATTGTTGGATGGGTCCTTATCTTATTACTGGCATTGTATAAATATAGAGAGAGAAATGGGGTTTAACACCCACGGAACACTAACATTTTATCAATAAATACAATATGCAAACTGTCTGCCCTTAAATATATGTAAGATTTAGATAAAGAGCTGGCCTTTCTTGCTATAATAGTTCAAAAGTAGATAATGTAAAATGAATATACTGAACATTTCATTTAAATTACGTTATTCTGAGCAAAGTTAACACTGAAGTTTTAACAAGATCTAGCATAGATTGTTTATTATCGTCATGGACCTTTATAATACATGGACCTTTATAATACATGGACCTTATAATACATAAATGGACCTTATAATACATGAATAATCGTAAGAGCTGTGCTTGTTAATCAAGAATTAGCCTTGATAAGTCATTTTTAAATTAAATCATTAAATGGCAATCATGTTTAATTTGTTTACATCTCTGCCATCCGATGGAATAGAGAGTTGATTATAGCCATGTCATGTACAAAAATGTCTAAATAATTATAATATTTGAAGCCAAAATAAACACCTGTAAAGGCAGATTATAATGCACCTATATTAAACAAGTTATAATAGATAACACAGTACTGTTCGCTGATGGCCACAATGTAGAGATTTAACAAAAATAATGCAAAACAAATTGTGTTGTCATAGTTTCTACTCACAAGTTTTGAGAGCGATTCCTTTCACCCATTTGGTGGCTTCATCTAATAGATTAGTTATAGTCCCTACAGCTGTATCCCATTTTACTTTACTACTTAATATAGCATGATCTGAAATATACAATAGTCATATCTTAAAGATACATTAATGTAAGATTTAGATAGAGAGCTAGCCATTCTTGCTATAATAGTTAGAAAATAGATAATGTAAATTGAATAATCTGAAAGTTTCATTCAAATTACTCTATTGCGAGCAAAGATATTAGCCTTTAAAGGTTTGACAAGACGTGCAATAATTTCAACCACCGTACTGGTTGTTCGGAGCTAAGTCTCGCTCCTCCATTTTTAGCTTAAATCAAAATGTGGCTGAACTGTTCTAATCTATTTAATATTGGAGAAATTCGATGCCATTGAGATTTCATTATGGCCTGGATCAGTTAATTAATGTCTAATTAATAATTTAGAAAACGTTTCAGGCCTAAAGAAAGACCTGCAATAGGCAGATTTAGCTCTTGCATAATGTATAATGACAGTTATAATAATATACCCTGCTCTGAAATACATGACAGTTATATCTTAATATAACATGATATGAAATACATGACAGTTATATCTTAATATAGGCCTACTATGATCTGAAATAAACAATAGTTATATTTCAATACAAAGTTGTTGAGTTATCGTACTAATTATTCGGACTTTTACACTGCCCCCCCCCCCCCCCGATCCGCTGGGATAGAACAATGTAGGCGTGTCCAGAACAACACCTATTTATATCCCCAATACACATATAGATAAAATACCAGTTCAACTCACCATCTAGTATAATTATTTTGGGAGCCACATGCTTTTCTTTCCTGTCAAAATACAAAAAAAAAATAAAATACATCTACATTTTCATATATATTTTACATTACATTGTGACGTTAAGAGGTAACATTGTGACTTCAAGAAGCGTTATGTATTTATATTATGACTTTAAGAGGGAGCCACAGTGGCTCTGTGAGTAACACGTTGGCTCGACAACCTGGAGGTTCGGTGTTTGTGTGTTCGATTGGCGTTCATGTAAAAGATCCCTTGGCAGTTGGAATTCGATATAAGAGTAGGCTGTAGCACCACTGTCCTGGCAAAATTTCCCTCATAGCACCCTATATGGTGTATGTCCGTCTTTATCAGGCTATTTGAAGCAGAATAGGATAAAAGATAAAGAGATGGCAGTTCTCGCTATAATAGTTAAAAACTTGATAGTGTAAAGGGAATTTGCTGAAAATTTCAGTCAAATTGATCCACTATGAGCCGAGAAAGAAGCGGGTGAAATTTTTGCATAGTCTCGGTCATCATAACTAAAATCATTATTATAAACAGCATAGTCTCGATTATCCACTTTTATTGATTTAATTATCAATAGCCGTTGGCGGCATATAGGAATCTAATCCAGCCAACATCGAAGGCTAGCCTTGATATCGAGAGTTTATTATGGTCTGGATAAGTTAATTAATGTCTAATTGATAATTTAGATAACATTTCAGGCCTAAAGAAAGACTTGTAGTAAAGCAGATTTTGCTCTTGCATAATGCATGTTTAAATATTGTTTATATATAAAAGAGGTCACATATATTTAATATTTACATCTCGGTACCTTACCTTTCAAAAATTTTGCTAATATTTTGTAATAATATCTGACTAAGACTGGTTAGTTTCTCCGTTGTTTCAGTGTAAGAATACAAACCATCTCTAAAATCAGAAAATAAAACATAGATCATTTAAAGATACATTATGGGAGATTCTATAACGAGTTGGCAGTTCTCACTATAATAGTTTAAAACTAGATAATGTAAAGGCAATATGCTGAAAATTTTAGTCGAATTGATCCACTATGAACCAAGAAATAAGCGATCGAAAGTTCCGCATAGCCTCGTTCATCATTACTAACGTCGGTACAACAAAAATGATAGTCTCGATTATCCATTTAATCGTTATATCGAGAAGGAAAGTTATGCAGCGTTGACATCGAGAGAAGATTATGGTCTGGATACGTTAATTAATGTCTAATTAATAGTTTATATAACATTTCAGACCTAAAGGAAGACCTACAATAGGCAGATTTAACTCTTGCATAATGTATGTTTAATTCATTTTTTTAAATTTCAAATTTTATTTATCCCTACAGTGAGATCTGGAAGAGTTTATAAATAAATTGTGTTTTATTTGAGGTGTTTATTTAGCCAATTACCTTGTAATTATTTTTGAAATAAAATCAGAAATAGTTTAAAAACATACGTCATGTTATCATAATTTACATCCGCTTCGTATATCGCCATTTTGTAATTTTCATCTGGTTTTAATTCTTTTTCCTGCTCAATAAAACCAATAAAATCAATCACAAGAAATCCAGAAATAGATTAAAGCCACTGCATTCATCAAACAATATCTAAAAGATCCCTTGGCAGTTGGAATTCGATATAAGAGTAGGTCGTCGCGCAGGTGTCTAGGCAAAATTTCCCCCATAAGGTCTGTCATTCAGTCAACTGGCGTGGTTTTGATTGCCCGGTTGTACGTGACAAGGAGTAGGGTCGCTTGTCTAACCTAGTGGGTTTGCTCCGGGTCCTCGAGTTTCCTCCCACTGCTAACGTCATCTATGTGCAAGCGACTTATTGAAATATAATCGAACCATATGTTAGTCCCGAAATGACCTAGTTTGTGTCAAGTTGACTGTAAATCCCATTTCTCTCTCTTTTGATGTCCGATTGGGCATATTCCAGGTCAGACGTTTACCAACATGCATAGAACATGACTGGCATATACAGGTGAAACAGCATCCATGCACTATTATAATAACAAGCTTTTGCCAGGCAACATACCCCCACATTTTGCAAGAGATTAAGTTTCATCAAAATCAGAAAAAAATTGTGATCCCTAGAGTGTCCACAAGCTAAAAACGTGACTTTTTGTACAATCAGGGGTCATAATCCATGAAGTTACGATCCGATACATACAAAACATGAACGGATGGACAGACGGGAATACAGGGGGACGACGATATACGTGGGCATATAAAAATAATGAAAAATAATTGAATAAATAATATGAATGATTTACCAGTTCTCCTTGTTGAAAATGGATCCAGTTATTGACTTGTTCTATTATACCATATCTTTCTTGACAATCTCCAACATATTCATTGATATTAATCATAATACCACGTCTTTCATCTATCTGTAATATACATACATAGATGGATGGATGGATGGAGGGATGGAGGGATGGATGGAGGGAGGGAGATGGATGGGGGAGGGATGGAGGGACAGATGGATGGGTGAAGGGGGGGGGATAACTGCATTAATCAACTGATGACTGAATCATTTGATGGAGATTGAATACATCAATGATGGGTGAATGGATGGGGGATGGAGGGATGGATGAAGGGAAGGAGGGAGGGTCAAATGAATGGAGGGATGGATGGGGAGGGAGAAAGAATATATCAATGGATGGATGAATGGTGGATGGATGAATGGCTGGGGATAGATGGAGGGAAGAAGGGATGGATGGAGAGACTGGTAGATGGATGGAAGGACTGGTGGAGGGCTGACTGAATCAATGGAGATTAAATGAATCAATGAATGGATGAATAAAAAAATAGAAATGAAATAGAGTTTTAACTTCAACTTTTTACTGCTCTGACTGGTTCTGGATTAATAAATAGATAAATGGATGGATGGCTGGATGAATGAATGAACAAATGAATTGGATTATCTCCCCTTGAATATTGTAAATTACCTGTTTAAAACCTATTCAGTCCATAAAATATCTGATTATCTACTAAAATATGTAAATAATTTAATAATTTGGTTGGTAACCACCTAATGTATGTTACTGACAAAATGGCTAACCATTTCTCAATAAACCAACTAATAATACAGTCAAAAGTGTCAAGGGACACAACTCCACGTGGATAGAGTAAATATCAATGGATGGTCGAGACTTAAATGGATTTAAACACCCGTGAGATTTAAAAATTTAACGATTAAATGGATAATCAAGACTTAGTCTTGGTTGTCAAGTACCGTTGCTACGACTATAAACAATCTGTGCTACATCTTCAAATAGTCATAATTATGCCCAGAATAAAGTAATTTGAAGGAAATCTTCAATATATTCATTTTTCATTATCTATTTTTGAACTATTAAAACAAGCTCTTTAACTAAATCTTACATAATGTATCTTTTTAAATGAAGAATGTCAGAATAAAATACTAGTTAAATCTTACCTTTTCTCTCTTTGCCCTGGCTTCTTGTGATATAACTGATAATTGTCCAGTATTTTTCTACCAACAAAAACAACATAAATTAAACATCAGATATTAAATTTTAAATATAGTAACACCATGAAAAAAAAAAGTATTCTAGTTTTCCGCTACTCCTGCAGAACTTTTTTGTTTCAAGCTAGCTGCATACCCGGCCTCGCCCATGGCCCAAATTTGTCTAGGCCCCAAATTCCCCCAGGTTTTAATTTGCCCAGGGCCTAAATTTGATGGCCTAAGTATTCACAGGGTCTGCTGGTTAATTTGAAACCACATATGCGGGGATGGAGACTGACGATGAAGAGTGATTTGCCCTGGGCCCAGGCCGAATTCACCCCAGGGCCCAAATTTGATGGCCTAAAACATTAACATGGTCATGCTTGTTAATTTGATACCAAATATGTGAGGGTGGATCGCGGCGACGAGTGTGATGGTTGAACATACACACATACATACAAACCATGCTAGTTGAATCAATGACAGACCTTATGATACAACACGCACATGCTAACCTTTCGGCCATCCAACCCCCAAGTAGACAACAAGCAGACAACAAGTAGACAGATAACAAGTAGACAGACAACAAGTAGACAGACAACAAGAAAACAACAAGTAGATAACAAGTAGATAACAAGTAAACAGATAACAAGTAGACAGACAACAAGAAGACAACAAGTAGACAGACAACAAGAAGATAACAAGTAGACAACAAGAAGACAACAAGTAAACAACAAGTAGATAACAAGTAGACAGACAACAAGTAGATAACAAGTAGATAACAAGTAAACAACAAGTGGACAACAAGTAGACAGACAACAAGTAGACAGACAACAAGTAGATAACAAGTAGGCAGACAACAAGTAAACAACAAGTAGATAACAAGTAGTAATAAATAACCTTATTCATCATGGTATCCTCCTCATCATCATAACCACCGCTTTGTAATGCCTGGAAATATAATAACACATGACACAATTATATATAATACAAGTTACGTCAAGGATTTATTCCAGGGGTTTCTCGTCTTTATAAAGCAAAGAATGACTACTTTAGTACAATGAAGATATCCATACAAAATATGGAACAAAGACAAACATTATACAATCAGAGATAATCATTTAAGAACCGTCAAAGGGTGGGAAACCATAAGGGTAGGTAGGGTGGTAATGAAATATGCACAAAGACCAGCGGTTTCCAGGCAGGATACGCCCACATATTGCAATAGATGGATAAAGAACAAGCTAAAAAAAAGCTTTTGTTCGTACAATCAGGGGGAATTAATCCAGGAAGTTAGGGTCTGAAATGCGCGAATAACGAAATGGACTGAGATATTTGGGATATAAAGATATATTTTAAGTTTAAACAAAATCGGATAAAAACTGTGACTTCTAGAGAGTTCACAACCTTGGTATTACATACTTTTACACTATTTGCGTACAAGGAGCAGCCATTTTGTCAGGCAGTTTTGGTCAGATTTGGTCAGATTTTCACGAAATTCGAACTTAACCAACAATAGGGTGTAACAGTGATACATTTAAACGCATTTTGTCACGTACAACCAGGGAATTGAAACCATGCCAGTTGACTTAATCACAGACCTTATGATACAACGAGCACATGCTGACCATTCGGTCATCCAACACCCCCATTTGATATGAAAGCCTCATTGTACATGTAAGCTACTACATCTATAACTAATAATTTTTTTTCCGTATCAACTGGGTGTCCGAGACTACTAACCTTTTGAACCCGAGCATTGATCTCATTTAACTTATCTCGTACACCTTGTTCCATTCGCTTCTTTTTGCTCATAGCGATGTCCGTGAGTATGGAAAAAGTATGACTGTTATCGGCTGAAATGCGTGTTTCGGACAATCGGCGAGTACCACCAAACAATTTGTTATTTAAGAATATCGAATCTGGTCGGATATCCCCTCCAGAACTATTCCGCAAGACTGGAAGCTTCCATTTTTGCGCCACTGTAATCTCTTCTTTTTTCGGTTCGATCATCTGCATAAGAAGGTTCTTCATTTTATCAGGAGATTTCTGGTTTTTGATCTTAGATTCAATTGTCTGCCATTTGCTTGGTGATTTGCGCTTGGCACCTTGATTAGGTGTGTCTTTTCGACTCTCGACATCAGTACTGACTTTATCTGATGTAACGGAAGGTTGTTTGGTAACTGGTGGTCCTGTGGTAACTTGGGGTTTGGTGGTGAAAGCCACAGAACTAGGTTCTCTATCCGCAGCTGTCTTACCACTCTTTTTCACTGTTCAATAAAAACAAATAGAAAATGGTTGTAAATACGTTAAAATTAAACATACATTATGCAAGAGCTAAATCTGCGTATTGCAAATCTTTATTTAGGCTTCAGATGTTATAGAAATTATTAATTAGACCTTTATTTACATGACAAGCTCAAAATCAATTCTGTAGACCCTCGGATGGCTTGGATACAATTTGGATTTAAACAGTCTTCCATTAAAATTGAATCAATAAATGGCGGTCACTACAGGAAACTAGTGATGAAAGTCAGGGCTGCCAAGAGAGGCTACCATAGCCACTGAGCATGTTACTTGATAATCAAGAATCTGTGGGTGGAGTTTTCGTCTGTCAATCAAACGATCGCCAATTCTCATAGATGGTGCAGACACAATTGATGCCTATTTCTAGTCCAAACTTCCAACAGTGACAATTCCGTTCAGAACAAAGTAATTGACTGAAATTCAATATTTTCGTTTTTTATCATCTATTTTTGAATTATTAGAGCAAGAATGGGCAACGATTTATAAAACTCTTAACTAACGTATCTCTTTAATCCACACATGGTCCAGATTAAAATATTTCATTCAAATTACATTATTTTGAGCGAAGTTATCAATATGTGTACTAGGCCCTTACATAATGCCTGTTTAATTGTCAATTTCGACATTTTAAAAATACTGAACCAAAAACACAAAATAAATAACACTATAAATTTTGTGTAAATTGTATGAATTGATTTTAAAATGTGTAAGTTTAATAGTTTTGGTTTCCTACAACCAACAAATAAACAAATTTTAATGAACTCTCTCTTTCATATGGGGATTGGGGTGGCTGAATGGATTTTGTGCATTGAGTCAACTGGCATGGTTTTGATTCCTTGGTTGTACGTAACAAGGAGGAGGGTCGTCTGTCCAACATCGGGGGGGGGGGGATGGCCAAGACCCCTACGAGTAATCGAATTATGGAAATAAAATTGAACCATGTGTTAGTCCCGAAATGACCTAGTTTGTGTCAGGTGGACGTTAAACCCCATTTCTCTCTCTCTCTCCCAACATCGTGGGTTTTCTACGGATCTTCTGGTTTCCTCCCACAGCTAAGGACCCCTACATGCAGGCGAATTATTAAAATACCATTCAAAAATGTGTTAGTCCCAAAATTACCTAGTCTGTGTCGAGTGGAAAACCCATCTCTCTCTCTCTTTCATATAGAATAATGTGTGAATATCGATTAAATTGAATTTGATGTTAATCTAACTGTAAATTTAAATTGTCTATTTATTAAGCTTATGTTTTATAAATCTATGAAAATCAAGAATTGAACTGAAAATTTGAATCAAACTGAAAATTTGAATTGAACTGAAAATTTCAATTGATTTAAAAGTTTGAAATTGAACTGAAAATTTGCATTGTCTATTTATTTCTTAAAAATGTAAATAATTATATTTTGAATTTGTCATTTCTATATATATATATATAATAGAGTAGGCCAGCGATCTATCTCATGGTTTTACTACAAAGTGTTGTAAGTAAAATACGTCAAACAATACAATTTTCAAAAAAGAGAGAGAGAGAGAAATGGGGTTTAACGTCCACTTGACACAAACTAGGTCATTTCAGGACTAATTTTATTTACATAATTCGCTTGCGAGTAGGGGTCTTTAGCAGTGGGAGGAAACCGGAGGACCCGGAGAAAACCCACGAGGTTGGACAGGCGACCCTACTCCTTGCCACGTACAACCGGGGATTCGGAACCACGCCAGTCGACTCAATGACAGACTTTATGATACAGCACGCGCACGCTAACCATTCAGCCATCCAATCCCCCAATTTTCAAAAAAAAACATTATCAATTAAATAGCCCAAGTCAGTCTGCCTAAATCATAATGTCACAGTCCATAAAAAAATACCCATGAATGAAATGGACTTTTAATTTTGCACAGGTACTAAATTCTAATTTGGAACTGTGAGTGACCTTATCTGGATCCAGATGCATTTAATTTTTTAAATAAATAGGGAAAATTGATTTGCAAGTTTAAATACAAATTTTTGTAGTTTCAAGTTGATTTTCTGTAGATTTGGGTTATAAATACTCTCATCCCTTAAGACACATCTATCTATCTTTAATAAAAAAATATTTATCTTTTAAAAAATCTATTTATTTGCTTCAGCAACCTCGCTATTCCTCTAATTAGTTCATTTTTCTTTTAATCTCTGCCATAATTTATTTGTTTGCCGTTTAAATACAGAAACTTATATTAAAACCAACACGTAACAAATCTAAAACCTTTTTTTTTCTTTTTTTAAATATTCCCTTTTCCCTCTCCAATTGCCAATTAAATACAAAAATAAACAGTTATTTTTGGTACCAGTAGACGGTTGAGTAAATGTTTAAGTGGAGTTATTTTGTGCGTTTTGCCGTGCACGTGCATTTCTTTACCTGGCTTCGCAACGCCCCGTTGCATCACTCGCCTCGTGCAGCTCTCTCACGAGCGGCTTTATGAATGAAGTTTTTACTATGTCATGTCATAATTTTGACAGGTCGCAGATTACTGTCAAACTCTTTATGCAAGCACGTGGCTTCTATATACACAATAATAACCTTTAAACTGTTTTAGGTCCGCCCATTGTGTGTGATGGGGAAAGTTAGGATGTTGTCTGTAAAATTATAAATAACATTTAATGTAAAATACGGTTCGGATAGAAAAATAAAACTCTAAATTTAGTATCAGTTAATAACAGGATCAAAAAGTTATAATTGTTTAGCCTACCGTCACAATTAAATGAACCTCTGGTTAATCACCCCTCTGGCGATAATGGTACAGTCCCCCCATTTATGGCAGTGGGACCAGCGACAGCTCAGACTGTGACGTCACAAATTTTTCGCATGGCGAAGAAAAAATATTGCGGATAGATACATATGGTCTTAGTCTGCGTCGTAATTTACTTGAAACATTTAATAGAACCTCTAATTGACTTAATCTCTATTCAAATAAAGGGTATTGATAATTATAGACATGTGTTATGAGCTTGTTTTGTATTTTCTATTGAATCTTTGTCGAACTATTTAACGTAGTGGATGTCGAACTGTATTCTAGAGCAGTAAACAGGGTGGTTATTGTGGAAGAAGCACTAGTAGTAGGCCAGTTAACTATCAAGTTCAAGTGATTAATTCAACTACAGTTATAAACATAACTTTACTATTTAGGCCAATTGTAATAACACTTCATGTCTGCATAACCGGATTATGAACAAACCGGCCAGTGGGGTCGTGATTGGTGAGTAAAACTTGAGATAGAAATTGAACGATTTTGTCGATTGTCTGCTCTGCTTGCTCTGCACAAAAATATTTCTCAGTGACAAACGGGTTCAGAGATTTTAGTAAAATTATCCGCGAATGCTTGGCGGATTATCGCGCGATGTGACCGTGGTTCTTTGCCTCAGCACAAAATGATTTTAACAGTTATGGTCAATTGGTAAACAAACCCACGTGTTTGTGCAGACGCTTGTGATTAATGAGGCATATTTAGGTTTGGGAAAATGAAGTATTTTTGACTCACGTCTGTCAGTCGGTCGAGGCCTTTGTTTATTGTGGAATGGTATTCTGGCTTGATTTTGAATGTTCGACGATACCATCTTTTTGTAAATGATATACTCAATTCCTCTAGTTAATTATTTAAATTTAGAAATATTAATTTGGTTGCTATGACAGCCAATTATATAAGAAAAAAAAAAGGTCTGATTAGTGATAGTGATAAAGGTAAATAAATGAGTGAAAGTAATTAATCCAAAACAATGAATTTTATATTCAATATTTGTCGTTTGATGCAGTGTGGTCACCACCAATATGAGTCTCCAGTACATAGCCTACACCTTCCATGCTTAGGTGGGGTTATACTATACCGGAAAACACCCATGTGATACTGAATATACCGGAAAACACTAAAATACCGGAAAACGCCGAAAAAACACTAAATACTGGAAAACACACTAAATTAAAATACTGGAAAAACCTAAACCCAACTCCAAAACCGCACGCAGAGAACCAGGCTCCGGGAAACCTATTTAGTATTTAGTGTTTTTCCGGTGTTTTCCTGTAGTTTTCCGGTATATAGAATAGTCGCTTGGATGTCATCTTTTTCCATAAATAAAAGATACATTTAAATGGTCCTGTTTATTTTAATAGGAATAGGATATTTACCATTTTGATTGATTTAAAGAAATACTGTCAAATTCCAACTATATTCAGAATAAACGTTGCATCGCTAATTCTTGTAAACAGAGATTAGCCGTAACATTAATAACAGCAAAAAAAGGATCAGTTCACACAGATTTCAGTACTTGAACTCTGGAGAATATTCACTGGAAGTTATTGTAGAATACGCATATATTTAAAGTCTTAATCCTCTTATGTATTAGTTTTGAAAAGTAGAACCTGCACTGAAAGTCTATACGGAAGAATACACAGAGCTGAGAACAAAGCCTCTACAATGGAACAGACTTCCCATACACATTAAACATTTTTAAATCACAGCTAAAGACATTAATCTTCAAGCAAATTTATGACTAGCGCTCTTGAGCAGTTTACTGGAAAGAATTGCGCTCTACAAATTCATAATTTATTATTATTACAATGTATGTGTAGATTATATCATGAGGGAATACACAGAAATTCTGTTGTGGAGGAAAACACTAAAATGTCTAGATGTATATTATGGAAGAATAGGCCTACACAGAAAGTCTATGTGTATATTGTGGAAGAATACACAGATGATGTACTGTATATTGTTAAAGAATGGTACACAGAAAGTCTATGCGTATATGTATTGTGGAAAATACACATAAAGTCTATGTGTATTGTTGAAGAATACACAGAAAGTCTATGTGTATATTGTGGAAGAATACATCGAATTAAAATGTCTATATGTGTATTTTGTGAAAGAATACACAAAAAGATTATTTCATGTTTAATGAAGACTTGACAACATCAAAATATCAAGGGTTGATCATCTCCCAGCTTCTCTCACTCAGAAGAAGAGCCTAGGAAGGTTTGCAATTGGGGTTGTAAGGAGTTTGTATCCAGGGGGCATTACCCCCCCCCTCTCTCTCTCTCTCTCTCTCTCTCTCTCTCTCATTTGTCTAACCATGTTAATATGTAAGAGAGCTCTTATTACCAGTAGGTACTTATATTTGGAAATAATGTTTTTAGTTTTACCTGACAAAGTCAGTGCAGAAATGTAGGACCTTAAACCCAATTTCATTTTGCCAGATAAACTATCGACCACCACTGAACTGACACCCAATGTTTTATATTAAACTGTCGTTTTCATTGGTGTTCTACTGTACATGTATGTCTTGGTTTATTTTTTTGAAAATTTTATGTCAGTAGATACATATATAACCGAGTGTGTTGTTGATACAGTGAACCAAAATTTATTCTAAAAGTACTGGTGGTAGTGAACCAGCCAATGTCCGTTATAACAGAAAATTTGATTGTTTAATGCTTGTCCAATCACTGATCGAAATGATCAAACAAATGAAACCAGTACAAGTTTGTATCCAAATCAGTCTACAGAGAGGAGGGAGATGGGGTTTAATGTCTACTCGACACAAATTATGTCATTTTGGGACTAACACATGGTTCAATTTTATTTGAATAATTTGCTTGTGAATTGGGGTCTTGAGCTTTGGGAGGAAACCGAAGATCCTAAGAAAACCCACAAGGTTTGACAGATGACCCTACCCCTTTCCACATACGTGACTCAATCTCAGACCTTGTGATCTAATGCACCCGCGAAAACCGATTTGGCATCCTACACGCCTACCCACCCCCACACAGACAGGTACATGCTGTTTGTATCATATTTCTATTAAAATCTGTAAACAAGTCGATTTCCGCTGATCTTCCGCCGAGTCTGTTCGAAATGACACAACAAATCAAAATGGTATATATATATTTATACTTTATTTTGAGTTTGACCTACATGTAAATCAATGTAGCTTGTATCATATTTAAAGGACATATGGCTCTATTATTTGTAACCTAAAAGCCCATAAAGTATATTAATGTACTCTGAATTTATATAGATGAAATGAGGTAAACGTTCTACTGTTCTGCTCCGACTGGGCTAATGAAGACGGGCTGAATGTATATAATTTTATATAAAGAGATTTTTAAAAAATTCATTGTAATTTCTTATCAATGGACATCCTCCAGGTGTCGCTAGTAAAAATGCGGTTCCCTGTGACCTTATCGATGGTAAGAGAAATGTATTTCGAAGTATCGGGATTAAATTCTATATTAAAGACCAAAAGTAACATTTGTCAACACACCAGTTCGTAATGAATGTACCTGTAGGAAAACAATGCTGTAAGGTAAACAATGGTCAGGTGGCACCGCCTCCTCTATCATATGGTGTCACCTATAAATTATTCCCCTTTATCTCTCTCTAGCAAGGACGCCCATTAACACCTGCTTCATCCATTCTACACATTTTCTAATTATTATTTTGTCATTTTGTGAATCAGCCAATTTTACTCATTACTTTTGCGCTGTCTTGTAGGATATGTTTTCTTTGTTTATTATAAATGGTGTCCGAAACTATAGAAATAAATGATTCATGTAGTGATTTTAAAATGTTTATACATGTATGTCTTACATATTGGATATAAGGATCCCATATTTTCACAGCATAACAACATCAATATTGATTGAAATGGACGAATATTGAATTTTAATTTGTGTAGTGTTCCTATTCTAATTTCACACTATGGAAAATATTGAGTTAGTTGTTTAGATACTTTAAATAGCATTGAAATTAGGTACAAATGTACGACTGAACTGATGTTTTTAAAAATGTTAATCTGTTATTAAGCTGAGATTATAGCCACAACTTAAATATAGATGATAATAATAAAAAATGGCTACATGTAGGGTTGGTTATTTCCGTCTTATATTTTACACATTAGTCACCTGATTTAATATTTAAAACAAAATAATTAAAAATACTTGTCCTCGTTGATTTTTGGGTTAAAAAAAAACCGATGATTTTATTTGATTAGATCATTTATTTCAACATCTCCTATAAAAGTTTTTTTAATGTCGTTAGATTCATCCACCAATAAGCAATGTTGATAATTAAATTGTTGCAGCTGTCAATAACTCAGATGAAATGATGCGTACCGAGAGAAAAGTGGCCAAATTTAGCAACATTGCGAAATGACACTTGGAGTTGGACAGAAAGTTTGACCTTAATCTGTATAATGTTGACTTGGATTTAATTTAGTGTTTGGTATTAGGTGTCCGTTTATCCTAACAAAAAGTAAGCATTAAGTATATTCTGCATGGTGCACTATTTCTGCCACAGCTTCATCTTTTTGGAATCAGAAAAACTACTCAGTAGCTAGTCGACATTTACTGATATAAATGGGTCAGACCCTCTTTATTTGTCTATATTCTATCGAAAGACGTTTACGGGTATAAATGGGACAGGTACTATCTTCCTGTATTCCATCTGAAGATTGAAGAGACAGACTGGCCATATTCAACATTGTACAATGTATGTGTATGCAAACTGGCGTGGTTCCCCCTTGTCAGTGATGCAGGACGGAGGACCTGACAAGGACAGCTGTCTAGTCCTTCGGATGATACGGAAAACCGAGGTCCCATGTATACATTGGAATGCACGTAAAAGATCCCTTGGCAGTTGGAATTCAATATAAGAGTAGGCGATAGTGCCGCTGCCCGAGCAAAATTTCCCTCATAGCACACTGTATGGCATATGTCCATCTTCATTAGACCAGTATAGGAGCAGAACAGTAGGACGTTAAACCCCATTTCATTTCATTTGTGTATGCAAACTGCTAATTAAGAGCATTTGTCAGAAAATATAAATATTTTGAGACCAGGTACTGCATTCTAACAAACTCGCCTTGTTGTTCTTCAAGGGGGGTGAGCCTCTTCGATAAAAGTGAAAGGCATGGTCATCAATTCAAGTACGATCGACAATGTGTACACAGGACCTCGGTTTTTAGTCCTAACCCAATGACTATATGTTGTCCCTTGTCAGGTCCTGCGGCTGCACCACTGACAAGTGGGAACCATGGTAATAATAATTTCAGAATCGAACATATGACCTCCAGATTAGCGAGCCAACATCTTACTCACTGAGCCACCACGACTCCCTTATTATTATATGTGTGTTATATAGAATGTTATATAGTGTTAGGCCTAGAGAAGCTGACTGTCATTAAAGATGGGTTCCCAGAAGAGTATTTA